GGGGTGCTAGGCTCGTGGCTTGGGTTCATGGTATGCTATTTGTCTTGAAGAGGCTGTTCTGTAGCTTCCCATAGGGAATCTCCGATAGGAATGCTGGTATGTACGTACGTACAACAACGTGTCTAACCAAAGCTTGAAACGACAGTAATACTCCCTCGCGAGATGTATATGGTGCAGGGTCTTGGACGCCCTCAAGAGCGCTGGCCTGCTGAGTATGGGTTTTCAACGTCGGGCAGATTCAGTGCTCCCATGCGATCGTGGAGGGAGCCCTCCAAGCATCATTGCCACTGTTAGTGGCAGAAGCCGCAGGTATAGCATGGGGTTAGGAGGCCCACAAGGCTGATAATGGGCCATAAGAGGTTGAATGTTGTCCGCAGAAGATAGTGAACAGTCTCACTAGCCTCGCATCGACAGCCGGAGTCGAACGAGTACAATTATGTCCATGACAGGAGCAGAGTGAGACGGTTGATGAGTGGCCATGGCTAGTCGAGGAGTCAAGTGGATAATGATTGGCTGCGACGAGGAGGCCGCTCGGCACTCTTTCCGCCGATCCCTGGTCGCTAATCCACGCAAAGACCCAAAAAGGTGGTGGCATGGCTGTGCATGGCACTGTTTGTGCTGCCTACTTGGGCACTCAGGGTACTAAACCTGTCTACCTAGGTACTCTATTATCTCTTAATTCCCCTCCTAGGCACCTTATCCGGGTATTAACTACCTATGGATGCTATTCAAGAAGTTCGGTTTGCGAGGCTCCACCATCCACAGGGCAAGCCACGCATCCCGCCCGCCATCCACTGTAGAACTGCCACTTGCCCCAATTCACCAAGTCCACCACTCAGCACTCTCTGTTCCCTCTGCACACACTAGTCAGTCCGCCTTCCTGGGCATTTCGCATTGTCTTTTCTCTCCCTCCACTTCTCCTCGTCATGTTGACCTCTTTGTTCTTGTTCTTTTCTTCTCCTGCACCCAACCACAAACAACTGCTTTGCAAACTCCCGTCATAACACCACGCAATCCCCGTCGCATCTGGGTATTCTCTCTCCATGAACGCGTTTGTCTCGCCGAATGTATGTATATATCCTCCTTCGCACGAGGTTTCCACAACCGCGGATCGCGTTCGACACACCTTGGGTCCTCAACACGTCCAACAAGCTCACCAACTTCATTACTCTAGGTCGCGCTCGTCCTAGAATAACCTCCTAGTCGCCATCTCCTCCCCCTCCTACCTCCCCGCCGACCGCGTTGCACTAGGTTGGCCTTTACTCCTCCTCCACAGGATGGTCTTATTCAAGAGAAAACCCGTGCGCTACCTACCCCATCCCCACATCGACGACCAGGAATCCGATGTTTGGGTCATCGCCGAGTCCAATGAAGTATTCACCTCGTACGATGCATATCTCGAGCGCATGGACTTTTTCAAGTCCAAAAGATTCACCTGCGAAGTATCAGGACGTTCCGGTCTGACATTCTTCGACGCGCTGAGGAGCGAGCAGGCTGGGTCACGCGAGATTGATGAGGCGTTTCCGCAAGCACTGCGAGAACCCGTCCTACGCAGAGTCCAATTCTCCACCACGTCTCGTATCGATAATTTGGTCGAAGAGGTTTACAACGACTTCAAGAATGACTTCTATCCTGGTGAACTGGTCACCGTGATACTGGACGACGCATCCCGATTGAATGGTCGAGTGCGGGACAAGGCCAAGTTTGCAGAGGTGAGGGCAGCAGACGGTTCCGTGGCAAGAGAGGCTTTCTCCAGATATTTTGTGCGGCTCATTGATCGCCCAGACGAGGAGGCCCTGGTCGACGATAATCATATCGTTAGAGACCGCAAGGTCTTCACGAAACACATGCTCCGTTCTTTCATCAAGAATACCGTGACCAGGGAAGGTTGGAATGGTGCTCCGTGGATCGTGAAACCCGAAATTGCCGAGCGATTTCGCATTGACACCAACGTTCCACCCCATCTTCAATACGGCCATAAGATCGCCGCGAAGAAAGCGGAGAAGAAGCAGAACGCTGAGCAAGGAGAGGGTATGTTCGGAATCTGGCAAACTCATAAACTACCCGAGCTGAAGCCTGCTCCTAAAGGACGCAAGAACCAACACACGTCTCAACACCAGCTACAGCGGATCGAAGTGCAGATTCCTCCTCCCTACCACGAGAATTATCCCCCCCAACCGCTACCTGACCCAGGATTGTTGCCACGGTCTTGGGACCATATGCATCCACCCCCTCCACCTCCACCTTTCGATCCATATTACCACGGATATCCTCAATATATGCCACCGAACGGTCACTACTACCCTCCACCGCCGCCAGAGGAGCAGTTGCCTCCCAAGCAAATCGTTCAGCCGCCTCCGCCTCCTCCGCCTATCAAATACCCCATAGATGATCTAGATGTTGAACCTGTCCGCGACGGGACGCATCGGCCGACGCTGAAGTTCATCAGCAAAGAGCAATGTGTCGATCGGAAGTCTACGTCTCACCTCATCCCCGGTCTCAAGTCTGAAAATGTCGGCCTCTTACTCGAGACGTGGAATACATTGAATGTGTATTGCCAAGTTCTCAAATTGGACTCGTTCACCTTCGACGATTTTGTGGAAGCGATGATGTTCACCTCGCATGAGATTGACTGCGAATTGTTTGTCGAAGTACATTGCGCAGTTCTGAAACAACTTGTGAATTCCGAGAATGATGATGATGGAGCCATTCAAATATCACTACCAGATCTTCCCGACCCAGACGAGGATGAAGAGGAGGAAGAGGAAGAGGAAAGCAAGCCACCAACACCAACACCCGAACCGGAATATCCTGCGAAACGAACACGAAGTAGTCTCCACAAAGTTCAATTCGCAGAGCCAGAACCAGAGCCAGAAGAACCCGAACCTGTAGTACCTCATCGCGCCGCCGAGATGTTTGGAGAATATGGCTGGATCGACAGGCTTCGGAAGCGTGACCTTAGACATGGTGGCTGGGAATTGGTCATGGTTGGGTTGCTGCATCAGCTTTCCGGCAGGCCCAGACTCACGGACGTTTGTAACAGAATTCTTTCTCATCTTGCCCCTCTAGATGCTGAGCCGACCATGGAAACAGCCAGGATCCAGTACTCGACCATGGACATCAACCTGCGCGCGGAGGCTCTGCAGATCATCTGCCAGTTGTTCCTCGAAACCAAGACCGTCAAGAATTTTCTGGAAGAGATGAGCAACACAATGACTCATTACCGTAAAATCAAGATTGAGCATCAGCGAGCTCGGAAAGAGGCATTGGCAAAGCTTAAGGAGCTTCAAATTGAACGGAGACTGCTGGCGCCGGAACCCGAGAAATCTCCTACCCCGATGCCCGAGCTCGAAGATACTACGGAGGCGGAAAAAGGCGAAGACGGCGACATTTCGATTCCCGATTCAGAAGATGAAGAGCCCGTCATGACAAGATCTTTGCGACGGGGCAGTGACCGAGCGGCCGAGCGTAAACGGAAACGCGAAGAAGAGCAAGAGCGCAAGGAGAAGGCAGCAGAGGCGAAGCAGAATAAGGGAAGCAAAGAGTATCAGAAAGTTCTCAAGCAGATCGAAAAGGAGCGCGATCGCATCGAACAAGCAGAAGAGCAGATTCTCGTTGTCGATGGGGACTTGCGTGAAGCCGACTGCCCTCGGACACGGGTTCTCGGGAAAGATCGCTTCTGTAACCGGTATTGGTGGTTCGAAAGGAATGCAATGCCACATGGAGGGTTACCCGATAGCTCGACGGCGGGAGCGGAATACGCCAATGGCCGGGTCTGGGTGCAAGGCCCTGACGATATGGAGCGGGAGGGTTTCATTGATGTCAGCGAGCAGGATAAGCAGGCTTACTACCGACGCTTCCAGATGACTCCAGCCGAACGGAAGAAACTGGAAGAAGGTACCACGAACCTAGTCTCCGCGAGGCAATGGGGATTCTATGACACGGCGGAAGAACTTGACATGCTTATCGGATGGCTCGACTCTCGCGGAATCCGAGAATTGAAGCTGAAAAAGGAACTCAACTTGCAACGTGATGCCATCATCAAACATATGGAGAAGCGAGCTGCGTATCTGATGCCGCGAGAGAAATCTGAAGAGCCACCGACGCGGATGTCTACGAGGACCAAGACGCACATCAGCGATAAGGCACATCGATGTCTGAAATGGAAGAACTCTACCGCTCTAGCGGAACTAGGGCATCGCCATGTCGACCCCGTGCCGAAACCGAGAGGGAGAGGCAAGAAGAACATCACTTACGAGGAGCCGCAAACAAGGTCAAGCGCGGCAGCTCCACCAGCTCCGCTGAACCGACAGGGTAAACCGGTAACGAGGCAGGGGACAAGGTACAACTTTTGAAAGCATCTGCTCTATGTCTGCGACCATCTGCATAACGGAAAAGAAACATCATGGTGTTGCGGCGGATTAGAAACGATTGGGAAAGCACATTGCATTGACTTTGATTCATTTCTCCAAGAGGGCTATTTGGCTGGCATTTGTCTTTCGGGGCGTGGACAGTTTCTTCAAATCTTCCGGGCGGGACACTACTATGAGCTCACCGGGACTGGATTCAACAGGGTTGGGCGGTTTACACTCCTGCGCGTTCTCCTGGAAGGCTTGATGAGAAATGAGTGCATGAAAACGGGCGCTGGACAGATTACTCTCTCCGACTCAAATTTGTCAGCCAACAACGGACAGAAAAGAAAACGGGGCATTGTTTCGGAAAAGCTATGAGGACTAGAGAGGGGTTTTGCATCGTGTATGGATTGATGTTGCATTCATAGATTTGCGATTAGAAATGAGCTGTGAACACAGCGAGCCTGTATTACCGACGCCACAGCTAGAGCCCCGCGGGTGCTTTGGGTGCTTTCTGCGCATTGAGGAGACGAAAAATGGGTAAAGACATTTTTGAGACTGGATGATGGTTCCTCTCCATTTCATGCTGTCACTTAAGAAACTATACATGGGACACCACTGATCCGCTCAATCTTATTACTCACTGCCTCACAACTCATCTCTCAGAACCTCTTGGGCCTTGGCCGCAAAGCCTTGCTTGGCGGCGATCTTCCTGCCGGGTTTCTCAATCACCACGTCCTCGCCGCGGTCCTTGAGTCCGCGCTTGACCATGCTCGTGAGGATCTCGTACGCGACCTGCGCGCCGGCCAGCGCGGTGGCTTCGCCGTGGCCCGCCTCGTACGCAGGGCTCACCTCGACGACGTCGGCGCCGACGAGATTCAGGCCCTCAACGCCGCGGAGGATCTGGATGAGTTCGCGCGTGGTCCAGCCGCCGGGCTCGGGCGTGCCGGTGCCAGGGGCCAGACCGGGGTCGATCACGTCGATGTCCACGGAGAGGTAGACGGGCATATCCGTGCCCATCCGCTCCATGATCAGGTCGATGATGCCCTTGACGCCGACGGCGTCGATGTCGTCGGACTCGATGCGCAGGAACCCCTGGCGCTCGTCGTCGGCGTAGTCGTGGAAGTCGTCGCCCAGGAGCCGCGTCCGCAGGCCCGCGTGCACCGACGACCCGTTGTTGATGAGCCCTTCCTGCGACGCGATCCAGAACATGGTCCCGTGCGTGAAGTCCGCCTGCGTGGGCGTCTCGGCCCACGCGCTCGGGTACGCACCGGGGTGCCAGGTGTCGAGGTGCGCGTCGAAATGCAACACCGCGATGGGCTGCTTGTAGATCTTCTCCAGCGCGCGCAGGGCCGGGAGGGCGATCGAGTGGTCTCCGCCCAGGGTGATCAGCTTCGGGTGCACGTGGCTTTCCGGGTTCTTGTAGCTCAGCGGTCGGCGAGAAAGCAGCTCGAGGTACGCCGAGGTCATCTGGTGCAGGGCCAATGCGTTGTCAAAAGGCGTGATGGGGATGTCTCCACAGTCGAGGACCAGAGGCCACGACGTATACGGATTGATGTGTGCGCGGTGGTTGAAGCCTCGGAAGGACGTCTGGCGAGCAGAGGCGGCACGGATGGCACGAGGGCCGAAGCGGGCGCCTGACAGAGAGAAAAAGAATGAGAAACGATGCGCTTCTTTTGCGAACCAGACAGACATGTTCTTTTTGTCCTCTTCCTGCTCCTGTTGGGCCCAAGGAAATTGTCCTGGCTTTGGGGAAACTAGCTTACCGGGTCGATAACTCACTGCTGTGTCATACGGGGCGCCAATGATGCCGATATCGAACGGCTCGTACGGGGTGGTCAGGCATTTTACATGCCTGAGATGGGCGAATGTCGATATTCCTGAGAATCCCCACTGTAACAAGAGTGTCAATACACATGATATAGAACTCATTACTTTGCGTTTTGCCTTCTAGTTTCGGCTCAAGTGTATAATCCTACCACCAGGAACGCAGAACCTGTGGTGGAAGGCTTGGAAACACAGTACTGAGGCACCTTACATCAAAGTCCCATTTCGCTTTCAATTCATCCAGTGGACTACCGGATTCAGGCGGGATCTCGAGTTCCGGATTGTCGTAGAAGGAGGAATGAGCAAAGGGAAGGAGAGGGAGCAATATCGACAAGGACCACGACGGCAGCAGCATCGTTGAGGAACGGCCAGTTGGTCACGTAGGTCTTCCACCCAATGCTGTTTGTATAGATACCAAGAGGGTGAGAGCAGAGAAAAGAAAGAAAAACTTACATTCAAAAGAGTAACATTCTCATGTATCCATTATCTAACAGGATATCATCATGGCCCGCCCATGAAAAAAAGACTCCATCGAGTTGGGTAGATGGATTAGGGCGTCAAGGGCGTCGAATGAAACTCGGCGCCACTCAAAATCCAAAAAAGAACTAGAGGGTGACGCCGCTTTTGAGCGGAGATTCCCGCTGTCTGTTTCGCGTTGCTGTGATTGGTCCGGGTTGACCTCCTGTCTTGCTCCCTCGCCGACGCCCCCGGAGACGAGACATATACAGCTACAGGACGAAGACCAGAAGAGAAATGTCAAGGAGATGCGGAGAGTTGTCGTGACTGGGCTGGGAGCTGTGACGCCCCTGGGTGTTGGTATGTTTTGATGATTGCTGCCAACGACCACCGCTCTCGAGGTTGACGACGATTTGTGTTTTTTTGCAGGTGTCAATCGAACATGGTCTCGGATTTTACAGGGACATTGCGGCATCGTCTCGACACGCCATCTCGGAGAAGAATTCAAGGCGCTTCCAAGTCAAGTCGCCGGTCTGGTACCTGTTCCCAGATCTGACTCGGATGCGGAAGAGGGCGTTTGGAGAGCTCAGGATCATGTCACGCCAACTGTACGGTCTTCAGGCTGGCTTTCTCCCCCCCCCCTTGAAAGGTGAAAATCCAACGAAATACTGAGGCTGAACGCTGGGATAGGAACTCCGCCAGACTGCCAAATTCGCACAGTACGCTCTTGCAGCGTCCGCCGAAGCATTGCAAGATGCTGGCTTCAAAGACGGCAAGGGTCTCGATCAAGAGATGACGGTACGTTGATGAATATTGCCCAACGTCAATGCCTTCCACCGCGCCACGTTGCAAAAAATTCGCGTATATGCAAGAGTTGTCCTGGAAACTGACCACCAAATCTATTCGCAGGGCGTCTGTCTCGGTTCCGGCATCGGGAACCTTGAAGACCTATACAACACCTCAGTGGCGTACAACCAGGAGAAGAACTACCGCAAGATCCACCCGCTGTTCGTCCCCCGGCTATTGATCAATCTCGGAGCTGGACATATCTCCATGCGCTACGGTCTCAGAGGACCGAATCACGCAGCCACCACCGCCTGCACCACGGGCGCCCACAGCCTCGGAGACGCGTCGCGCTTCATCAAATCTGGAGAAGCCGATGTCATGATTGCCGGGGGTGCTGAGTCGTGTATCCATCCGCTCGCCATAGGTGGATTTGCGCGGTCCAGGAGCTTGGTGACCAAGTTCAACGATGAACCATCGAAGAGCTCAAGGCCTTTCGACGCGGACAGAGCTGGCTTTGTGATCAGTGAGGGCGCGGCTTGCATTGTGCTCGAGGTAAGACCGCGTCATCCCCATCGTGCGAGACACTCGCAGTACACGCTCGGAGCGTTCTGACATGCCAGTCAAGGAAATGGAGCATGCCAAATCCCGCGGCGCCAGAATCTACGCCGAACTCGTCGGCTACGGCAACTCCGCGGACGCTCACCATCTCACAGCGCCGCTGGAAAATGGTGCCGGAGCTCTCCTAGCCATGAAAAAGGCCCTCAGACAGGCCCAAATTCCCCCTTCCAAAGTGGACTACATCAATGCTCACGCAACTTCCACACCATTGGGCGATGAGGCTGAAAACCAGGCAATGAAGACACTTATGTTGGGAGAGCATGGCAAGAAATCTGCCGACGAGATCAACGTGAGTAGTACCAAGGGCGCAATTGGACACCTTCTAGGCGCTGCAGGAGCGGTTGAAGCTTTGTTCACTGTTCTGGCCATGTACGAGGTACGTATTTTTCAGCCTGACACCTCCCAGTAGGTGCGACTATAGGAATGGTGATAGTAACGATATGATGGCTAGGACACACTGCCCCCCACTATCAACCTCGTCTCCAAAGGCGACGAGTTCGACTGCAACTATGTCGCGAACGCGGCGCAACAGGCAGAAGTTAACATCGCCTTGACCAATAGCTTTGGCTTTGGAGGAACAAATGCAAGTCTCTGCTTCCAAAAATATAAGTGAGACTCAACCCTTTGAGGACTTTTGGTCTGCTGCTGCAACCACAATATTCGTCCGACGACGTTCGTCGCTCAAATCAGTGCGCTATCCACCACGAATGATCCCCCTTAAGCCACATCTATCGAGGTCTTTCGGAGAGGCGCCTTCAGCCCAGATTGAGGCAAACCAATACCTGCCGTTACAGGTGAAGCTGATATTTCACTGGGAAACGTTTCGTGGATGGCAGACTGGGGTATAGCACTTTTGGCGCTGTCTGGGGGAACACTGAACAAGCCGCCGGATCTGTTGCCGCTCATGGCATTTGATAGCATTTCCTTCATCCGCACCAACTGGTATTTCCGCCGGGTCGGGAAAAGTGGTTTGGTGACGAGGGGTTGCGGTCGAGCAAAGCTTCTAGCGATGGCTGTCATCACTGAGTCTCGCTCCTCATCCGAATCGACCGGACCAGTCAGACTAGGGTCGAGATCCTCCTCAAGGAGCGCAGGGGCGTTTGCATCGAGCGCAGCTTTCTGCTGGCGTGCTTGATTCTTTTTCTGGTATGCAGCGAGCAACATGTCGTAAGGTAGACTTCTTCCGGGAACAGCCCGCTTTGCTCCCATGGAGTGGCTCTTGCATGTTAAACTCCTTGCGCACTGTCCACCATTTGGCAGAATCACGCCGCATTGTTTCTCCACGTCAACCGGACCTTTGGGTTTCACCACCTTCGGTTTCTGTTCTTCCTTTCTCTTCTTCTTTCTAGGCTCTTTGTCGTCTTCGGCGTCGGCCTTCCGTTTCTTGGTCTTCTTGGGGGCATCGTCATCACCGTTGACACCATCTTTTCTGGAAGAGCCTTTAACATCGTCGTCGTCGTCATCATCATCGTCTGCTCTCTCTGCCCGTTCCTTCGCCCGCGCCGCAGCTTCGCGTGCTTCCTTTTTCTTGCGCGCTTTGTCTTGTTTGGACTTCAAACACAAGGATATGTGCCACTTGGCAGTGCGCTTTAGAACCATCTTCTTGCAATGTTTGCAGATCACGGTATCGAGGTTTTCGAGGCGGCCGTTGGGGAAATTTGCCATGGTCTCGTCATCGAACTTGGGTACTTCTGGCGAAGGCGCCTCTGCGTTGTTCTTGACGCCTGTGACTGTCAGAAGGGGCCAACACCAGGGATGCATCTCACTCACCATTTGCTTGAGCCGATTTCTTGGCTTGAAGAGGGAACTTCTTTAATTTGACCTTGGGTACCTTCTTACTGCCTTTGCTGAACTTGTAGCCGGACGCGCTGATAAGGCTGTCTGTGTTGGATCCAACAGATGAGGCTATCAGCAAGTTTCAGTCCCACCCTGACTGCGCCAGGGTTTTGATGTGTACGAACCTCGTGCATCATTTGCCATGTTGGAGACTTTCACCAACGAATTTCGCAACGCCGACGGTCAGAGAGAGGGTTGGGTGAATCTGCTCGAGTACAAGCAATGGCGGCGGCCGACAGTTCTCGAGTCTTGGAGTGTTGTTATCTTCGGTCACCTCTTTCGCAGGCCACGGCATGTCAAGGAGAAATGCGGAGGACCTAAACGATGGGGGAAACTGCGGGCGGTACGTCGAGACTAGGCCTATCCTGGTTAGACATCTATCAAAATTTAAGGTTATGTGATAGAAACGCCACACGAGTGCTTAGTAATACTCGATGCACTAGACATTCACGCACTCTGCCCTACAATACTCGTACAAAGTACAGCGGACCATCTAGGCTTCGGGCGACGAAGCCAGAATCTCTCTTCGACTCCCTTCGGTCTGGGCTTGAAGAATTGACTTGGTCCGCTCAAGTTTTTGCGCAAGGAAACAAATCTCCCCATCTCACCGGCAGCCTCTCTCTCTCTCTCCGTCCTCCTCTGCGCATACACCTCTCAGCCATGGATAACGGAGGGCCCGAACCCCCGCACCCCGAGATCAACTCCCTCATGCAGCGCATCGGCGGGCAATGGGCAGGCCATGCGCTCCAGAAATCCTTCCAACACGAAGTCGCCCACCTCCTCGGGCGCGGGAGAAACACGTCGTTCCCCGGCGCCCAACCCGTCTCCTTCTCGTCGGAACACATACAGGAACTCAAGAGTCAAGACTACTACGTATGCGAAAAGACCGACGGCCTGCGCTACCTCCTGTACCTCACGCAAGATGGCGACAGGGACATCCACTACTTTATCGACCGACGAAACGACTACTGGTACGTGCCCAACCTGCACTTTCCGCACCACGAAGACAAGACCTTTCGGCGATTTCACACCGGCACGATATTGGACGGGGAATTGGTCGAGGACAAGTACCCGGATCGAGAGCCTGTCATCAAGTTCCTCGTGTTCGACTGTCTGGTCTTGGACTCTGTGGTCTTTATGCAGCGACCGCTCGACAAACGCCTCGCCTACTTTCAGACCCACGTCCTCCAGCCGTACAATGCCATGTTCAAACAGCACCCGGAATACACGAGGCCGTTTGTGCTCGAGGACAAACACAACGAGTTCAGCTACGCCCTGGAGAAGATGTTCAAGGAAGTGATTCCCAAGGTGAAACAGACGCACGGCAACGACGGCTTGATCTTCACCTGCCGCGACGCACCCTACAAGATGGGCACCGATCCACATATCCTCAAATGGAAACCACCCTCTGAGAACACGGTCGACTTCCTCCTCCGGATCGAGTGGGCGAGAATGGAGCCAGACCCGGACGATCCAGACCAATCCCCACAAATCGACTTTTACTCGTTCCCCGAGAAATTCGCCCTCTTCATCCACGTGGGCAGCAACGAGTACTCGTACATCGAGGACATGTACGTCGAGCCCCAGGAGTGGGAGGAGTGGAAGAACCTGAACCACCCGCTCCAAGACATCATTGTCGAATGCTACCAGGACGAGCTG